AAGTGTGAAGTATTCTTCTTCCTGCATGAGAGCATCTTGAGGTGTTTCGGACGAATTGAGAAAGGCGTGTTGGTACCAATTGTCTATTGTGTTTTTGTTGTGAGGGCAGAACAGGGCCTCATTGCTGAAGGAAAACACCCTCTCAAGGTATTCAGCGTGGATATTTACGATTTCTTCCGGACTAGAGTGTGAGCAGCTATCCATAGGGTCAATAAGCTCCTGGGTTTCTGGGGACTTTTGGTACTTCGAGAGTTTGCGGACTTCTTGGCAGTAGTTTTTACCCTTGCTTCTGTTGATTTTATCACAGGCCTCAATGTATTGTTCACTTCTGAATTGCTGCACTAGCTTTTGGATATTTTTATTAAGTTCATTGAACATTCTTTTCAGAGCAGGCTCCTCATAGGATCTAAAATCGCGGTAGAGTCGTCTCTTTTCTCTAATTAAACGGAGAATAAATGGTGGCAGAGGGAAATTGTAATATTTCTTGTTGTAAGAAGGGCTCGCTTCATCCACCAAATTAAGCAAGCGTTTATTAAAGGTTGCGATAGGCTCGGGTGTGATAACAGGGTTAGATCTCACATATTCCTTTATTCCTGCGTTCACTCTTTCCATATTACAAAGTTTATAGTTTTTGATCAGAGTAGGAGCTACTTTAGGTATGCGAGTGGTTGTATTAATGCAGATCACAAGACCCAGATGGTCAGAGCACAGATCAGGAATGACATTAACAGACGTGATGAGCGGTCTTATGTTGTTTGTGCAGAAGATTAAATCAGGCTTGGAGTTGGGATTATTTGCCATTACAAACGTCGGAGGTGTTGCGATGCGCACAAAATTTGACATATTCACAAATTGATGTGTCTGTTTTTGGCTGGGTTTGGGTTAAAGTCACCGATTATTAGACAATTGTCGTACCGTGCAGCCATGTTGTATATTGTTTCTTCTATCTTGCTAAAAGGATGTATGTAAACCAACAATATATGTATTCTTTCTGTGCCAATCATAAAAGTAAAATGGAGGGCGTTGTTTAGTGGAGAATTTATTCTGGGATGGTTAGCTTTTCCAATTTGTAATGCAGGATCGCCCATAACCACCGCTCCGCCTCTGACACCCCTGTTCACAATATTTCCCAATTCTTGGATCATTGTCCAATCCCTGAAGTTAATTGGCGATTTAGCTTTAGTTTCAAGGAACATCGCACCGTGAATGCGGTTTACAGAAATATAGTTTCCAATTAGGTGTTTTTCTGGGACATAGCTGTTAATGTTTGCATACAGTAACTTTATCTCAGTCATTGCTGATCTTGCAAAATCATGGTTTGGGTGCCGTGGATCGGTTCGGTGGGTGAAGGTTTATTTGCGTCTTTTAGATCAATCATGATTATATACATGTAGCTTCCCGAAAAAGCAACGATTGTGTCAATTTGATGATGCTCAATGAATCTACGTTTTAAGGCATTTAAAAGCTCTTGTCGATCTCGCGGCTTGGGAGAGTTGATTTTTGTGAGATAAGTGTCGATAATTTGATCGTGGATCGTAACAGGATTATGAATGCGGCTTTCTTTGGTGGTTTGGTTCGTGATTTCGTCTGATTTTTTGTTAGCCGATTTAATTCTAACATTGGGACGCCTTGTATAGGTGCTTTGGGTCGATTTTTGCATATCATAGACCAGGCACTATGGCCTTCAATGCCGCAGGACCTACATTTCTCTGGTAGTTGGGAGGTACATTTGGTGGTGCTGTGTGGACCCAAGCATATGGAGCATTTTACAGGAACATTACATTTATCGGTCGTGTGAGCAAAATCATGGCATTTACTGCATGGAATTGGAATTGGTGGTGGAGGACGGCTCTCGTAAACTGGGAAATGACAGTTTTTATAAAAAAAAAACCTCTTGGAGTAGCCTTTGGTACGAATCAACGCATCCTGTGATTATTCTAATCTTATAGGTTGGATTGTTAGTGGCTTTTGAAATTATTCTTTTGCAGAATCTATGCGATAGTTTCTGTGAATTCAGTTCGTCGCTAATTTCTTGGTCTCCAATTTCCAGATCGACGGATGTGATGACGGCCGAATACGAGGCCGAAGGTATTTTTTTAGTAGAAGGAATGAGATTCTTTGCTTCAGAGAACTCTGCGATTATGTTTTGGTCTTTTAGGAGAGTTAGATAAGTGATTTGCTGTGTTTTATTGTTGTCGGATTTAATTATGAAACCCTGCTGTGTTTTAATAATAACGTCGCGAGGGTTAAACGAGTTTTTCGTCCAAATTTCGGACAATTCGATTCTGCTCAGTGAGACAGATGGTTTTACGAAAAATACGTTATTGTATGTTTTGGTTTTTTGTTGATATTTGAGAGGCCGTTCGGTGAACTGGTTTGTGGTTGATGCACGTGGAGGGCGTTTATCCGAGTTCGGTATTTGCGGAGTGCCCGTATTTTTTGGTAGTTTTGGAATTTTGAAAGTGGAGTCACTACCGCT